CCTACTGCTCGGTGCACACCACGCAGCAGCCAGGCTGAGCTTTCACGTCAGGCATCATCGGAGTCTGCAGCCCCTGCTTCTACCCTCAGGAGCCCCCCAGACCCGCCCATGACAGTGTCCACACATTCCTCCCAATCCTAATGGCTGCCACTCCCACCACCCTCTGTCCAGCCCTCGCCTTCCCTTCCTGAGCATGCATTCCCCAAATTCACAGTCTCTCCAAGCAGCACTGGAGGGTCAGCTTTTCTTTCCAATATCTTTGTCCACCTGTTAATCCCAGGCAGAGTTTTCTGTCTTCTCCCTGCTATGCTAGTGCTGCTGTGTGTGTGATGGAGACTCACCTCCTCTCCATCCTGCGCAGGTGTTGGGCCCAATTCTCCCCTGGATCTTCAGTATTAGAAGCAGGAGGCTGTTGGAATATTCTGGTTGAAGCCGGGAGTGGTAGCTGGAACCTGTAGTCCCAGCTACATGGGAGGCCGAGGCAGGAGGATCAAAGGTGCCTTCCTCCTTGAGCCCAGGAGTTAGAGGTTGCAGTGAGCACTGATCATACCACTGCACTCCAGACTGGATGACTAAGTGAAACCTTGTCTCTAAATACACACACACACACACACACACACACACACACACACACACTCACACACATAAATTTTGGTTGAGCAAATGAGAACGATACTTGTCTTGAGAGATGGACACAGGCATGAGGCTTCCTGGTCTCAGAAATGGCCAGAACCCCTGCCAGCCTCCCATCTCTGCTTCAATCTGCCTCGCGGGGGGACAGCGTTAATGACTTGATGGGGCCAAGATCCCTTCCCTCATAAACCAGGCTGTCAGCTGCGGGCCTTTCCAGTCAATGCAAGCCTGGCCAGGCCAACCTTAAGACTTGCCTCCTAGGGAGAAAACATGTTCTTCTTGGTGACTAATTTCCTTGTGACGCCAGCCCAAGTTCAGGGCAGATGCCCAGAGGTGAGTTTGCCCCGGAGCCTCCCAGTGGGCCCTCGTTCCTCCGCCGGCCCCGGGTGGCCACCCGTGTTTCCCTTTCTCCTTCCCAGGTGGCTGAAGCTCAGCACGTGCTTGGTGTCCCGCAGGTGCTGGGCTACATCTTTGTATGAATCATTTCATTCAGTCTTCACATATCCCCTGCCTGGTAGGAGCTCCTGTGTTCCCCATTTCAGAGGCGAAGACTGAGGCTCAGTGAGGTTGACTCACTTTCTCAAGGCCTCCCAGCCTGTAGGTGACAGGACGCTGAGCTCTGGGCAGCAGCAGTTCCCGTGAGGTGCCCAGGCCCTCCCCATCCTGGTCCTGCCTCTGGGTACTCTCCAGGTTGTTAGTGTGTTACCCAGAGCTGGGCACATGCTCAAGGAGGTTCTAGGAGGAAGAGCGAAGGTGGAATATCACCTCCCCTTCTCTGTGTCCAGCCTCTATTAATGCGTCCTGAGACAGCTTGCATCTTTGTGGGCCAACACAACACACTCTTGCTCATGCTGAATTCAGAGTTGCTTATGACCTCTGGACAGCTTTTATATCAACCACGGTCAAGCCAGAGTCCCCCACCTTGTTCTTCCTCATTTCTGATCCAGAAATGCTCATTCTCCTCCTGACATCTCGCCTTTTCCCCTTGCCTGGAAATGTTTCTGGAATCCTGCCTCTGTCACAAAGCACACTCATTCTCCTCTCCAGCTGTGGATTTTGTTTGAACTGTTGGGTCTCAGGACGTAGTCCTGAAAATCTACCTCCATGGTGACATCTATCTTGAAGCAAGTCCAAGACTTCCCTGCTTGCTGGGCTGGAGGGTCATTGTGCAGACACCTGTCCCCTGAGCCCTGCTGGTTGGTCCTAGCACAGTTGCTGGAGATGTCCCATGTCCGTTGTTGGAAATGTGCACAAAGGATGTGCCTACTCTTAGTGAACCCGCACAATGTCCTTCCCTTTCTTAATGCTCAGGTGTCTATTTAGTATTCAGTTTGTAGGCTGTTCTGAAATTTGGCTGGACCCGTGGGTCAATGTTTTTCAGAATCCGTGCAATTCCTCTTTGTCTGTAACCACACTTCGGACTCTTCCTGAAACGCCAGGGCTGGGCCATCATTAACCAGATCTGACAACCTGGCTTCCCCAGAAGACCAGAGTTCTGCCAGCTCCTTTCGGGATGCTGGCACCTGATCTCTCCCACATGTGCACTGTGCTCCTTACAGTGTCACCTCCGTCAGCAGACACCACTGAGCCTCCCCACTGGGCCAGGGGGCTAGCTGTGCTGAATTCACAAAACTCCATCTCCATCTCCCATATCTCAAGGGCCACCTGCATGGACAGCGCAGCCAAAGTGGCAGGTCCTATGATGGGACAGAGGCTGTAGCTAGGGGACCCAGGGCTGCACTTGAGCAGAATCTTTTTGTTTGTTTGTTTGAGACAGAGATTTCACCCTTATCACCCAGACTGGAGTGCAGTGGCCCGATCTCGGCTCACTGCAACCTTCACCTCCTGGGTTCAAG